CTACACAAAAAACAACAAGAGCTGTTGAATAGAATTCTGAAGAAAACAAAAAATTCTTCAATGTCATTTACGCGAGACACTGTCCAAAAGCCATATAAGAATTTGTATACAATCCTGATGAAAATCTGGCATTTGTCTGCTTACCTATGAAAAAAAATGCAGACAGGAATGGTGTGGCGCGGAAGATGAGGCGAAAATGACATTGTTATTGAGGAAATTACGCCGATAGTGTACGAAAAATACAGCAACTATACGTTTGTGAGAAAACAAGGGAAAATTGGGTTTGAAGACACGGTCCACATTCTGATGAAAATTTTAATGACAAGAACTCACTGTTCAACTCTCGTTGGAGCTGCATGAATCTAACCAAAATTGAACGAGTAAAAAATGTACCAAAAATGGAAAAAATAATTCTAATATTACACTGCAAGAAATAGTGGACAATTGACAGGCAATGCTAAATGCAGAAAATACTGAAACCCGATGCTGAAGAAATTAAGAAAAAAGAATGTGTGTAAGTGATCAAGCGAACAATTTAAAAATAAAGTCAGAGTGAAAATCTTAAGGAAATATTGTAAAATGTTTGCAGATTTTCTTTCAAATGAACTGGGTCAATGTTCAAAATTCTAGGCAGATTTTCAAGTAAAAAAATGTTCGACGCCAGTATTTAAGCCGCAATCGATCAAACCATTCGAAGGCTGAGACAAGTTGAACCTGAATTGGGGTAAAAGAAAAAAATAACCTTTCGAAATGGGCTGCACCAGGGTGTATGTAAAAAACAAATAAAGAATAAAATTCCTGTTTGCGAGGATTTCTCGACAGGATTAAACAGTTTAGAATCACATAACTGCCGATTACCAAATCAAGATAAAACTTCTTCAAAGTTAAACGGCGGAAGAATACTTTAAAAGCTGGATTTCTCTGAAGCAGCTTTACAAATTCAGTTTAAAAATAAAAGTTTTGAATTAACGAACATAAATACGCATAGAAGATTATATAAGTTTAACCGGCTTGCTTTTGGCATAATGGTTGCACCGGCTATTTTTCAAGAAGTCATTGATAACAGGCTTGCGGAATGCGATTTCGCTAAGGTGTATCGGGACATTTTGATCAAAAGTGTATCGAAAGAATAAAACATTACGCATGTGAAAACAATGTTGAAAAAAATAAGACCATATTTTGGACCCGGCTCTACAGGATAAAAATCAAGAATTATAACACACAAATAATAGTAATAATAATAATAATAATAATAATAATAATAATAATAATAATAGTAGTAGTAATATGCTAATAACCATTCTATATCCTTAGTGCCTTAGACGAAACAGAATTATTATAATAACATGTTAAAAATGAGAATTTTCTCACAATGTTTTGTCTTTCAAAACTAAAAACACAATGAATGTACATTTTATTTTGAAAAAAGTTTGCGAAAAATTGCTCTGGGCATGTTTAAATTTTATTCAATTCTCGTGAGCATTATTGAATGGTGGAGCTTTGAATAGTGCAGACGGAAGGTTTTGTGAGTAGCCGATACTGTTTTAAACGTCCTAGGCGATATAGGGTCATTTTTCGTAGAATTTCACAACCACATGCACACTGGTTGCTATTATCTCTACAGCTCTGATCTGTGTGTGTGTGTGTGTGTGTGTGTGTGCTATTTTTAGAATCCATGTGTTTAATGTCATATTTGAGTGACGGATTTATTTGACTGATTAAATGGTGTCCTTTTTTCGACTAGTTGTGGATTAGTATTTTTAAGCTTATCTCGAAAGCTTTTTCTTGAAATTAAATTCCGTGAATATTCGTAAAATTCTACTGAAACATAGAATGTGAGAATTAATTTTAATATTGAATTTTAATTCGTATTTTCCGTTATTCTATAGCAGGCTAAATGAAAAAAGTAAAACGCTTCATCTAAAGTTTTCAATTGTATGTTCGAGTTTTCGTACCTTGCAGCAATACACACACTTATATATATATATATATATATATATATATATATATATATATAAAGCTGAAAGGTCCATTTCGGTTATAATTTATTTCGTGAATATTTCTCTATGCAGACCGAAAGGTCTTAATTAGGATTAAGAAATCGGGTCTGAATATGTAGAAATATATAGAAATATTCACGAAATAATTTGTAACGACAATGGATCTTTAATTTTTTTCTTCTCGATTTATTATTGTTATAATGCTCTGTACTTTACAGTAAACTCTCTCTGGATTAATATTCCCTTTGGAATTATTCATTCTACACTCAACACCATCACTTGATAAGACACCAGAAGTGTTGAAAACAAAATGGTTATTCTAATAGCGATTTTATAACATATTTATGTTATAATTTTCGAATAAATAATTATATATATGCGATTAAGTTTTTTTATTGTAATTTTCTTGACACTTTTTGATCCATGTGATTCCATTTAATTTATTATGTAATACCAAGAATGTTTTTTTTTTCAAATGGTTTTCGTTTACCAACACAGTCATCACTTTTTGGCGGTGTTCGTAATGGATATGATTAATCATTTTTCTAACTTTCTTTTTATTGTGAATGTTAGCAATCAGGTTTAAATCATACAGATTGCTCCTATCTGCCCTAGCTGCACATATTATCATAACTTACATGACTCACAAAGTTAGATGGACGCGATTTAGAGGAGTGTGTGAAATATAGATATGCCCACTTTGCGTAAGAGTCAACAAATTTGTTATCGGTGTGCAGGAGAGTGCTCAGGATTTGTCCGAGTGACAAAATGTACATTGATCCGGATTTAATGAAAATTAAATAGATTGTAATAAGTTTCAAAAAGTAGATTTAATAAGTTATATACATATACGGTTTGACCGACAGTCAAATCATTAGAACTAGGTCTTAATTGCCTGAGTATAAAATGCCAACATAAATACACTTTGTACGGGAATAACTGTTGGGGCGCACCCACCTTCTGACTGATAATGGACTGATCCTTCTACAATATAAGTCAGTGCGAGAGAGAGGTGGATGAAGGATCAGGTTCAGCGACAGCAGTCGAGATCAGGTTACCATTACATACCGTTGGACTGTAGACTTTTGCTATTGTTACTTACTAACAGGCGTTCCTTATTACTAATCACTCTGTTGTTAATTACCTCTTACAAATATACCAGTATTTTTCCCTACAGCTGCCTGTCTGGCCTGCAATTCTTCGGCCTGTCTGGCCTGCAATTCTGCTCCAACTTCTCTGCGGCTTTCGAGCAATTTTCTTCTCTTCTCTGCCTGTCCGGGCCAAACGGACCGGTCCTTCTTGCCCGCAAGGGGCGAATGAGCAGGGCCCGCCGTCCGCTCTCCAACTGCTCTGGCCGTCTACCCCGCAACTCTCTGATTTCTGTCGATTGGGGTCCTGCTTTTATTGGCGCCGCAACAAACTGGGGTGGGTCTGTCGGCGTCAGGGTTTCTTGATAATTCCAAAAGTCGCATTAGTTCTGATTTCCCATTATCGCTCTTATTTTCACCCCTACTTCCTCACAGTGCCTCTGGGGGGGAGGCGCATACCCATCTCTCCCGGTCTCTCGTATGTCAGGTGACCGTTTTCGACCAATGGGTCCTGGTCGAGCGTCCTTTCTCCTCTTTCTCGCATATCACGTGACCGCTTTCGGCTAATGAGATTCTGGTTGGGCGTCTCCGTCCTTCGTGACGTCTCCAATCGGGCGTGGTCTATCCAGCTTTGTTCTGGGAAAGAAAACACCTTGCTAAAAAAAACAAAATCCAATTTGGCCTTTTTCGCACGCACGAAAATGACAATCTCGGCCTTTCTCACCTTTTGGTTTTTGTCAAAACAGCCCGCCGCTAATTAGATGTGACTTCAGGAAGAATTTTTCTCGTCTCGCTGGCGCTTTCTGTGATCCAAAACAATTGTTTTCATTCCTTTATTTTCGTTCAGGCCTGACAGTTAAAATCTTAATTATCTGAATTGAAAATATCCTCACTTCATCATCGTGGGGGTTCTAATCTTCAACAGGTCAGGATCTGTATACAATTCCAGCGGTCACCTTCTCATTCCAAAGACACCCCTTTCCGAGTAATGTTTCGTTTTCCATTGTTCTAAAAATCCCATTTCTCCAAATTGATAATGAGCTTCTACATTCCGTGGACACAAAAAGTAGGCCAGATGTTTTGACCGATATTTTTTATCAATCGTACGCATGTTCATCCACTTTTTACCATGTCCGTTCATTATCTCTAAACTTATTCCTTCAAATAACAATTTCCATTGTTCTTGAAATTCGGTCAGGCGCGTTGGCCTAGATATCTCTTGACACCTGTTTTCGCTTATGACCGGCTTATCTATTTCTCCTCCTCTCCTTTTCTTTTCTTCTTCTTCCCTTAGGATCGCCTAAATACAATTAGAGAAATATTCTCAAAACTTAATTACTCTTCGTCTAAATAACTAACAACTGGTTAATAAACCGAATAAAAATTAAATCATATTTCTAGGAATATTTCTTTTTAGTTTTTCTAATAATGCAGGGTGCCACAATTTTCTCAATCCTCCATATACTCAGTCTTTTCTTTCACTTTCTGTCTGTTTAAACCCCTGCGTACTAGTGGCATTTCCACATTGCTTGGGGTGAAATGGTTACAAATAATGTGGCAAATGCAATCAAAAGAAGCATACCTTTAAAGACTATATTTTAGAAATTAACAAATTCAACAGCGCGATGAATAAGTTCGGTAATATCTGCATATATGTTCCCGTAGAATTTCCTGATGAAAACAATCATAGAAAATCCCAGAAAAATTGGGAAAGAAATGGCAACTTTGAAATTCAATCTGAAATATTTTCGTTAATTTCAAGAAATATTGAAAGTAATACGAAATATTAATCTAAAATAAATGGATGAAAAAAAAAGTAAATTATGGAGGACAGCAGACGATAATCGTCTGATATCTTCATTGCAGGTTGTTATGTACTGAATTTAATTTAACTTGACAGTAGGTCTCAGATATGATGGAAAAAGTGAGAAGCAACCTCACTTGTCAATATTAACTGTCAATTAGACAAGCAAGCTAAACATTCAAAACGCCATGTTTGCGAAATTCTCTTCCGGATCCTTGCTTTTTAACATTGACGACAGAAAATTAAACTTTCTAAACGTTGTGAGAAAATCTGTAATTTCTTTTAGTGTTAATAATAATAATAATAATAATAATAATAATAACAATAATAACAATAATAATAATGTGGCACATGGGCACATCAACAATCCCTGTTGTAGTTGGAGCCCTAGGATTGTTTGGAAAAGAAATAAAAAAAAGGTCTCACGAGTACAGAAGAAATACAAAAGAAATATTGTCAATGTACAGCCTACACCTTACGAATACCTTTATGCATGTAAAATATGTGTGTTGTTCTTTCTTTACTTAATTTATCAGTAGAAAATGACATGCTGGCATTTCAGAACTTGGATCACTGGTCGGGACCCTGATAGAAATGAATATACAACAAAAATCAAACGAATAATAATAATATTGAAACTTCAAAACTGTGGCACATGTGAAAATCAACAATCCCTGTTGTATTTGGAATCCTCGGATTTATTGGAAAAGATTCCAGTAGACTCATTGAAGGGATTCCTGGAAGCCCATGCCATAAACAAAAAAAAATCTCATGAGTACAGCCCACACCTTACGAATAGCTTTATCTATGTAAAATATGTTGTTTTTTGTTTTGTCTTTTAAAAAAAAAATAGTCAGTGGAAAATGTCATGATGCCATTTCGGAAATTAGGTCTCTACTACTACTACTACTACTACTACTACTACTAATAATAATAATAATTTCTTAGCGGAAATATTTAATCACATATCTACATTTTAAAGTTGTTTTTGTTTTTATAGTTATCCGCGTTTTTGTTTTTATTTTTTTCTCTCGTTTATGATATTGCCTTTTCTCTGTCATCCTTTCAAGAAATACGTATACTTGACAGAAAAGTTAACCAATTACCACAACTATAAAAAAAAAAATCCTCATGACATTTTGAAAAAAATCTTTCCATATTTTTGGGATGTGAATATTGAGTTTCTAATAAACAGAGAGCAACCAGCATAAAGGGCTTGTGTAAATTGATAACATAAAATAGAAAATACGGGATAGATATTACTTAAGGGCTTTTTCTTACAATAATGCTCACCTTGTATACGGCCCAAGAAAATAGCCACTGAAGAAAACATTTTAGGATCGACAAATTTTTCAAGCAAAAGCATTCCTTACAACCAAAGACCATAAGACAAATTTCCTAAACAAGGCCACCGCAAGGAAAGTTGGCTCCCTGTGTCGCGCCAGGAAATTTTTCTCCCCGGAATCGATCCTCCAGATCTACAAATCAACAATTCGTCCTTGCATGGAGTATTGCTGTCATATAAGGTCTGGAGCCTCGGGGTTCTTGATAGGCTCCAGAGGCGGATATGCAATATAATTGGCCCTGTTCTGGCATCTCGTCTACAGTCGCTTTCTCATAGATGCGCCGTCGCCTCTCTCTGTCTGTTTTACAAATACTTTCATGTCAGTTGCTCTGAGGAGCTACATTCGCTGCTTCCCAGACTTCATGAGTTCAAGCGCTCTACGAGGCTGGCATCCCGCTCTCACCCTTTCAATGTCGAAACTTCTAAATGTAGCCGTCTTTTCTACTCCAATAGCTTCATGTCTCGCACATCTCGCCTGTGGAACCCCCTTCCCTATTCCAGTTCCCCTGAGAGCTATAATCTCCAGCTTTTTAAATGTAATGTCAATCGACATCTCCAGTTGCCTTGATCTATCCACTACCCTTCTCCTCATCCTTTCTTCTATCACTCCTATCTGATCTTGCTCCAAATTTTCTGTAACCCCTTGCGTCCTAGTGGCTTCTTGGGGTGAAACGTTTAAAAAAAAACAAAAAACAAAAACTCGATACCTCAACCCAACTATAAATAATATCGGTAAAATCAGCAAAAAGGTTCTTTGGAGGAGCACACAGTTGCATAAAAAAATGTTCTAAAAATTAACCACTTGTATAAAGCAGCCATAGCTATATAATTGTTTAAACAAGCTAGAGCGTTACACGTTAAGGGGTACAGTTTATGGGAATATATGTAGAAGACATTGAAAATGTAATGTAGTGAACTTCAAAGCATCTTCTTGGGAGTCTGTAACATAAATCTGGGATTCGGGAGAAAAAGCTGCGCCAGTGGAACTGACATCTCACCAATGGGATATGAAGACAATGGCGGTATTTTCCACCAGTCTGCGTGGCATGGCGGATCTTAGATTCGAATATTAGGTCTAGTGAAAGTAAGGAACGTAGTTCATCGCAACACTTTCCATTGAAAGAGTGATAGAGCAACGATTGGTTTACGAAGTTTCTTCTGTGGGAAAGCAGTTGTGAAGGTGGAAAATAATTCAACACATTATGAAAGATAGGAGGATTCGGAATATCACGCTCGCACACATCCTGAAGCTTCATAGCACATAGAAGAAGATGTAACTTCTCAGTCAGAAAAAGATACTCATCTATAGATTTACGGTAGACTAATGGATAGCGGCTCGGATTGAGGAATCAGAGAGCCGAGTTGGAATTCCAGTCAAATCCGTTACATTCACTTACGTGCTAACACCTTTAGGGAATTTATGAATCCTATTTTTCTCATCCCAGATATGGGTAAATAGCAGGATAGACGGGGTTCTATAGCCTTTGAAGGCAACTGGTCTACCGCAGAAAGAAATGGCAACCTACTGCGGGAAAGAATCTGCCTCATCAGTCATTTATCGAAAGATATATGATCTCCTAAGCATTTATCACGCATGACACATAACTGATACAACTGATCCACTTTCTTGTCATCATCAGCTGTACATTGATTCGTTGGGAAAGACATAAATCCTCTTTTTCTCTCCCCAAATATCAGGATAGACCGAGTTCTATAGCATTGGATGGCAACTAGTCTATCGCAGAAAGAAATGGCAACAAACAGCGGGAAAGAATCTGCCTCGTCAGTCATGTATCGAAAGATACATAATCGCCTAAGCGTGTATCACGCATAGCACATAACTGATATAACTGATTGATCCTCTTGTCGTCATCAGCTGTCCATTGATTCGTCGGGAAAGGTATGAATCCTCTTTTTCTCTCCCCAAATAGCAGGATAGACCGGGTTCTATAGCCTCGGATGGCCACTGGTCTACTGCAGAAAGAAATGGCAACGTACTGCGGGAAGCATCTGCCTTATCACTCATGTATCGAAAGATACATGATCGCCTAAGTGTGTATCAGGCAAACAGTATACCTCAACAACTGACTATAAGAAAATGTAAACTGTATTTTTTTTTTAGTTTTACGTTGCCGAATTTTAAAATTATTCGGTACTTAGACACGAAATAAAAACAATATTTTTTCAGAGTTCAGCTATTATATTTATTAGTATTTTTTTCTATATATAAATATGTCTGTATGATAATAGTTTAAATCATTAGTCCACGGAGACTCAATTGTTTGGGACATGTTGATTATTTATGTTTGGTTATGAGTGGACCCGATATTTTTGTTGATTAAAACATAGGACCGTAAGCGAAACGATTTTCTTAATGCATTTCGAAATACACATTTTGAATGAGTCAAAGAAGTATTGAAAATAATAAAAAAATGAAAATCGAAAACATTTCTTCTGGGGCATTTTGTCTGAAAAATATTTACACAACGATTTACTAATAGAATTTGTCAATTTGATGTTTGCAAGAAAAATCAGAGGTTAAATACGAATTACTAGACATTCATAATGGATGACTTTTTTATTTTAGCATTTTAAATTTTCTTTCTTTTTTTATTCGATTAGTGCTTTTCAGACATATTTCTTTGGCTTTATTCTCTATTCATTTTTCTCTTCTTTTTCTTGAATTTTTTTCTTTCTTTCCTGTTACTGTATTCATTATATTCTTTTTTGTATCTTCATTCTCAGCTTATTTAACTTTTTTTGGTATTCTTTCTTTTTTCCCTCCTTCTTTCGTTTTTTCTTTCATACATTCATTCATTCATATATTTGCTTTTTCATCTTTTACAAATGTATTTCTTTCGTTCTCGGATTCATTCATCTTTTTTCGTTCATTCGTTTATTCTTTTTACTTTTGCTTCCATCAAATTCCTTTCTTTCTTTCTTTCTTTCTTTCTTTCTTTCTTTCTTACGCTTCCGCACTCATTCTTTCTTTCTTATATTCGTCTTCTCTTTCTTTTGTTTGATCTCCTTCTCTCATTTTTCGTTCATTTTTATATGTTACTTTCTTTCCATTTCATCAAATTTCTTTATTTCCTTTGTTTTTTCTACGACTTTATCTGCTTTTTTCTTTCTATATTTCTTTCTAACAATTAATTTCCTTTATTTCTTAATTTCCTCTAACCCACGCTGCTTTCTTTTTTCATTCTTTCTTTCTTTCTTTCTTTTTTTCTTATATTCGCCTTATCTAACAACTGTTTTCTTCTTTTTTTGCTCATTTTTTAATTATTCTTAAATTCCTTCATTATATTTCTCTTTCTTTCTTTCTTTTTCTTTTTTTCTATAATTTCTTCACATTCTTTTCTTTCTTTCTTTTTTTATTTCTACCAGTTTATCTCCATCTATTTTAATCAACCTCGCGCTGATTACTTCCTTTATTCCTTTTTTTCCTCTTAGTTTTCTTTCTTTCTATCTTTCATTTTTCCTTCTCCCACTTCATCTTCTTTCTTTATTTTGATTTACATCTCGCTTCTTTCTGCCTATATTTCTTTCTTTCTTTAATATAAAATACCTCCCTTGCATTTCGGACACACTTCTTTCTTATTCATGAATGCATTTATTTCTCTCGTTTATATTAACATATTTTACTTTTTCTCTTTCAGAAATTATTTTCTTTTTTTTTTATCATTTCTCTTTTTTATTCATCTTTCTTTTTCCATCTTGTATTTTTTACTTCATTTTTTTTATTTCTTTCGTTCGTCTTACTTTGCTTTTACATGATTCTTTCCTTTATATTCGTTTTCTTTGTAGGCCAAATTAATTTCTGATTTCATTATTAATCTTCCTTTCTGTCTTTTTCACTTAATTAATTACTTCATTAAATAATTTATTGTTTATTTTTTGATTGCTTTTACTCAGTTTCTTTTTCTGAGGATATATTTTTTGTCATATTTGTTCCCTAAGAGGTATGACAATCTACACCAGTGGATAAAATAAAGGATTCAGTTCAAAATCCCAATCACCTGAAAAGTTCAAAACATTAATAATGGTACAACAGGGTAGGATAAAACGCGTACAACAACCGAAACAGTCGGAATGAAATGAGGATAACAGTCGAATACCGTTAATAATCAAGTAATAATAATAATACATCATCTCGGAGATAAAAACAGATATTGAAGGACGGAGAGTACAACGGCACAAACTTTGTGTATATGACAATGAAGATGAGGATAACAGTCCGAATACAGTTAATAATGCAAGTAATAATAATACATCATCTCAGGGATATAGAAAGATATTTAAGACCAGAGCGTACAACAACCGAAACTTTCAGGGATATCTATATGGCAATGAAGATGAGGATAACAGTCCGAATACTGTTAATAATGCAAGTAATAATAATACATCATCTCAGGGATATAGAAAGATATTTAAGACCAGAGCGTACAACAACCGAAACTTTCTCTTTATGGCAATGAAGATGAGGATAACAGTCCGAATACTGTTAATAATGCAAGTAATAATAATACATCATCTCAGGGATATAGAAAGATATTTAAGACCAGAGCGTACAACAACCGAAACTTTCTCTTTATGGCATTGAAGATGAGGATAACAGTTTCTCTATCATCTCAGGGATATAGAAAGATATTGAAGATCAGAGGTACAACAACCGAAAAACTTTCTCTATAATAATAATGAGGATAACAGGATCCGAATAGTTAATAATGCAAGTAATAATACATCATCTCAGGGATATATGGCAATGAAAGATATTTAAGACCAGAGCGTACAACAACCGAAACTTTCTCTTTATGGCAATGAAGATGAGGGTCAAAATAATGCAATAAAACATCATCTGATATAGAAATAATTTAATGCATTGAAGATGAGGATAACAGTCAAAATAATGTAAATAATGCAAGCAGCCATAATACATCATCTCAGAGATCTAGAGAGATATGGAAGTTTATAACAGCCGAAACTTTGTGAATATGGCAATGAAGATGAGGATAACAGTGTAAATAATGCAAGCATTTCTTTCTTAAGTTTTCCTTCCTTTTCATTAGTTTCTTTCGCTTAATTCACCATTCTTTCTTCCTAATTTTCTTATCCAATTCCTTTTTATTTTTTTCATATTTAGTCTTTCTTCGTTTTTATTTTCCCATATTCCTCAGCTTTTACCTTCATATTTCCTTTTCTCGATGAGGATAACAGTCCGAATCGGTTTCAGGGATATAGAAAGATATTTAAAATTTTTGCACGAATGATATGTAACATTCAAAATAATATAAATGATATCTAAACCAACTGTACTAAAGACCGTGGCTTTCATCATCTTCCGTTTATTTTTCTCAGTGATGTTTGATCCTTCTTTGCGTTTGAGTTACCTGTGAGTCTTAAATATACCAAGCCTTCTTTCCTTTGTCTTTATTTTTGATTTCTCTTTGGTGTGTTCTTTTTAATCGGTAGAAATCAGTAAAGCTACTAAGACACAAGGAGTTACATGAACCGTAAGACTTAGAAACAGTAACATCAATAGCAAGAGAAAGGAGTAATCAGGAGGACAATGGATCAGGATTGACGTTGCATTTAAATTTTAGTAGATTAAATCTGGATCCGGATATTTGCGAGAAAAGAAATCAGTCAAAAAAATATTTCACTTAAATTTCTTCCTCCTTTTTCTCTCATATTTTCTTTTTTCATATTTATTCTTCCTTCGTTTTTCTTTTCCGATATTCCATTAAATTTTCCCTTCATATCCTTTTTTTCTCTAGTTTCCTACTCAATGATTCACGAACGATATATCACTATATTTACTGTCGCTTAATATCTAAACCCAGTCAACCAACGATCACGGCTTTCCACATCTTCCGTTTATTGTTATCAGAGCTACTTGATCCTTCTTTGCATTTAAGATACCTGTGAGTTTTAAATACACCTAGCCTTTTTCTTTTGTCTTCCTTTGATTTCACTTCTTTTGTGAGTTAAATTTCTCGACATCGTTCAGGCTACTCTTTTTAGAAACAGTCTGTTTTATATTTCAAATTCTTCTTAAAACTTTCTCTAATAACTTTTCCATTGCATTCACAAAGTTTGTCAGTAGAACCACACCCTACTCGCCTCAGGTTTCTTAAAGTGAAATGACATGTAGCCTATTATACGATGCGTAGCAGTCCAGCAAACATTCCTTCGTTTTCAACTGTATTTAACTGAAGACGAGGCTGGGTTTATGTTCTGACCAGACAGAATTTTCTGAAGATTTCATCTTAACAGAAATCTTCGCGCTATGACTCTATACGTGATTAATTGTCCACCATTCCGTTTCAGGCGATCTGTACATATTGGATTATTTTCTAGCCCCACATTGAATAGCGCTTATTTATTGTGGAAATGATTTTACGCAGACCAGGCCCCTTGCCACTCATTAGGTATTGAACATAATTAATAAGAACCCTCACTGTAAGGTTGCTCTGTTTCACTGTCTCTTTCTGGCAACCATTCTGTTTATTACACGAAAAGAATATGTCAGATATTATTAAGTAAGTTTATGTTTTCTTAATATATTCGTATTAACCGACATCTGTTAATACATTTTTGTACAATATTATACGTAGATGTTAATTTATTTTCTAGTTTACATGGTGCCCCGTGGAGTATAAGTTTCCAGAAAGGAATTATTCCAGAGGGAGTGGGAGAGATGATTGCCCAAACACGATAATCAAAGAAATGACTGATTATTTCTCCAATTTTTAAATGCCTTCTTCTAGACAAGTTGCCAATCAAGACTAACTGGTGAGGATGTAACACGTAGAGATGATTGTAGGGGAGAAGGTTTCATGCCTTTCCGCGTATTTGCGCGAAAGGGAATGTAACGAACTCAACTGAAATTCGAATTTTTTGTTTCCATTTTTTATAGGAATAAATATTTATTTGTACTAATGTACAAAGTGTGGCACAAGGTAAAAAGAGGGATTGGGGGAAGCACGGTCTTCTGTCTTAATTCTAAACTTAGCTAGTCACAGACACGGACCCAAACATACCAACAATAATCCTATCAGGAAAACAACACATTCACTCCTACCTTTCTTACTGCGTCCACCATAAGACCTCAATTTCTCTATGAAATCCTAACTAGTCCCCATATGTACATTCAAAGTCTGTGGGGTGAGAGGAAAACAACAACAACAACAAAAAAACAAAAACAATGATTATTTACAATATGAAACAATACTATTTACATGAAAACAAAACAAAATAGGGTTAGTAATGAAAAAATAACAAAAACACAATACATAAATGTGGCAGAAACATCAGTTAAATGGACGAAATAATCGCGGGATTATAATATTGTAGAAAACCAAGCACGCTTAGACACAATAACAAATACGAAAACACACACACGAAACGAAAGTCATCCCGCAACAACCAGAGAACTGACATCACTGACCACCTAACGAGGGAGGGAATAGGGAATTAAGCAAAAGAAAAAGAGGGATAGAAATAAAAGGGGCCAATGAGCATGCATACCATAGCTAAGTTAACCAGTAACGGGAAACTAAAGATTCAAACTAAAAACCTAAACTAGCCTATTATCGGGGCGGGTTGCCTCAGTTCAACCCAGGAAGGACAAAATCCTGTACCTAACCGACATCCAAGTGCCACTCCAAGTCAGCCCCTTTCACTTTACACAGTCGCGCAAGATTTACCCACCTTTTGCCGAATTCTGATGAAGAGAGTCGCCGCCTTTCCGTCCTAATCTTGATTTTAAGCTGATGACTAAAGTACAAGATCAGTTGGGAAGAGGTGAAATTCTCACCTCCATAGAATCCCTTCTGACGTGTCGACCAAATCACGACTCTCATTAACTCCTAGAAAGCAGTGGAACACATAAAGTTCAGCTTTCGTCAACGGCGGTGCCACATTGCTACAAACAGATGAGGCCTCAAAGACAAAGACCCTGCAACATGCGAACCATGAGGCCTTCAACAAACTTACACAACGGTGCTACCAACTTGCAATGAAAGAAGACGTGATCTAGGGTCTCGACTTCCCCTACTACAACGTCGGCAGTTTGGATATTTCTCCAACCCGCTGCGCAAAGCTTTTTGGCGACCCAGAGGGACCCACGCATCCCCAGCCAGGTGAGGGATGCCTCATCGTTATTGAGACATTTCAACCCGGGAGCCCAAAGCCAGTTCGAGTGAGCCTCCTGCTTCGTAATACCGAGCTCATCAATCAGATCATCACGAACGGACTCCCTAACTAACACTTGATATAATGCCCTACGAGACAACGCCTGGACGTTGGAGAGGCCATCCGACGCCCGTAACAGCCGTTTCAGAGCAAGACGACATTCACGGCAGAAGGAGCATTCGGCTCGGGGTAAACGGTGGGTCTCCTCCTCGCACGAGTGCACACTTCTCAAGGATGGGAAATTTCTACGGGCGTCTTCCTTCCAGAAGGCGCCCTCCTCATCCGGTTCGCGACACAAACGATCTAGGAACCCGATGCGAAGCATATAAAGACTGATCTTAATGCTAGGCATAGCTAGACCA